CTGTCGTGTTCCTGATCTCAGGGGGAAGGCTCTCAGTTTTTCCCCATTGAGGATGATATTCGCTGTGGGCTTTTCATAAATGGCTTCTATGATGTTTAAGTATGTTCCTCCTATCCCGACTTTCTCGAGGGCTTTTATTAAGAAAGCATGCTGAATTTTGTCAAATGCTTTTTCTGCATCGATTGACAGGATCATATGGTTCTTTTCTTTTATTAATGTGATGTATCATGTTGATTCATTTGCGAATGTTGAACCAGCCCTGCATCCCAGGAATGAATCCCACTTGATCATGGTGAATAATTCTTTTTATACGCTGTTGAATTTGATTTGCTAGTATCTTACTGAGAATTTTTGCATCCATATTCATCAGGATATTGGCCTGTAGTTCTCTTTTTTTTTACTGGGTCTCTGTCTGGTTTAGGAAGCAAACTAATACTGGCTTCATAGAATGAGTCTGGAAGTTTTCCTTCCCTTTCTATTTCTTGGAATAGCTTGAGAAGGATAGGTATTATCTCTGCTTTAAATGTCTAGTAGAATTCCCCAGGGAAGCCATCTGGTCCTGGACTCTTATTTGTTGGGAGATTTTTGATAACTGATTCAATTTCTTTGCCAGTTATGGGTCTGTTCAAGTTTTCCATTTCCTCCTGTTTGAGTTTTGGAAGTGTGTGGGTGTTTAGGAATTTGTCCATTCCTTCCAGGTTGTCCAGTTTGTTGGCATATAATTTTTCATAGTATTCCCTGATAACTGCTTGTATTTCTGAGGGATTGGTTGTAATAATTCCATTTCCATTCATGATTTTATCTATTTGGGTCATCTCCCTTTTCTTTTTGAGAAGTCTGACTAGAGGTTTATCAATTTTGTTTATTTTTTCAAAAAACCAACTCTTGGTTTCATTGATCTGCTCTACAGTTTTTTTAGATTGTATATTGTTTATATCTGCTCTGATCTTTAGTATTTCTCTTCTTCTGCTGGGTTTGGGGTGTCTTTGCTGCTCTGCTTCTATTTCCTTTAGGTGTGCTGTTAGATTTTGTATTTGGGATTTTTCTTGTTTCTTGAGATAGGCCTGGATTGCAATGTATTTTCCTCTCAGGACTGCCTTTGCTGCATCCCAAAGCGTTTGGATTGTTGTATTTTCATTTTCGTTTGTTTCCATATATTTTTTAAATTTCTTCTCTAATTGCCTGGTTGACCCATTCATTCTTTAGTAGGGTGTTCTTTCACCTCCATGCTTTTGGAGGTTTTCCAGACTTTTTCCTGTGGTTGATTTCAAGCTTCATAGCATTGTGGTCTGAAAGTATGCATGGTATGATTTCAATTCTTGTAAACTTATGAAGGGCTGTTTTGTGACCCAGTATGTAATCTATCTTGGAGAATGTTCCATGTGCACTTGAGAAGAAAGTATATTCTGTTGCTTTGGGATGCAGAGTTCTAAATATATCTGTCAAGTCCATCTGATCCAATGTCTCATTCAGGGCCCTTGTTTCTTTATTGACCGTGTGTCTAGATGATCTATCCATTTCTGTAAGTGGGGTGTTAAAGTCCCCTGCAATTACCACATTCTTATCAATAAGGTTGCTTATGTTTGTGAGTAATTGTTTTATATATTTGGGGGCTCCCGTATTTGGCGCATAGACATTTATAATTGTTAGTTCTTCTTGATGGATAGACCGTGTAATTATTATATAATGCCCTTCTTCATCTCTTGTTACAGCCTTTAATTTAAAGTCTAGTTTGTCTGATATAAGTATGGCTACTCCAGCTTTCTTTTGACTTCCAGTAGCATGATAGATAGTTCTCCATCCCCTCACTTTCAATCTGAAGGTGTCCTCAGGTCTAAAACGAGTCTCTTGTAGACAGCAAATAGATGGGTCTTGTTTTTTTATCCATTCTGATACCCTATGTCTTTTGGTTGGCGCATTTAGTCCATTTACATTCAGTGTTATTATAGAAAGATATGGGTTTAGAGTCATTGTGATGTCCGTAGTTATCATGCTTGTAGCGATGTCTCTGGTACTTTGTCTCACAGGATCCCCCTGAGGATCTCTTGTAGGGCTGGTTTAGTGGTGACGAATTCCTTCAGTTTTTGTTTGTTTGGGAAGACCTTTAGCTCTCCTTCTATTCTAGATGACAGATTTGCTGGATAAAGGATTCTCGGCTGCATATTTTTTCTGTTCATCACATTGAAGATTTCCTGCCATTCCTTTCTGGCCTGCCAAGTTTCAGTAGAGAGATTGGTCACGAGTCTTGTAGGTCTCCCTTTATATGTTAGAGCACGTTTATCCCTAGTTGCTTTCAGAATTTTCTCTTTATCCTTGTATTTTGCCAGTTTCACTATGATATGTCATGCAGAAGATGGATTCAAGTTCCGTCTGAAGGGAGTTCTCTGTGCCTCTTGGATTTCAATGCCTTTTTCCTTTCCCAGATCAAGGAAGTTCTCAGCTATTATTTCTTCAAGTACCCCTTCAGCACCTTTCCCTCTCTCTTCCTCCTTGGAATACCAATTATGCGTAGATTATTTCTCTTTAGTGCATCACTTAGTTCTCTAATTTTCCCCTCATACTCCTGGATTTTTTTATCTCTCTTTTCTCAGCTTCTTCTTTTTCCATAATTTTATCTTCCAGTTCATCTATTCTCTCCTCTGCCTCTTCAATCTGAGCCATTGTCGTCTCCATTTTATTTTGCAGCTCATTAATAGCATTTTTCAGCTCCTGGTGACTGTTCCTTAGTCCCTTGATCTCTGTAGCAATAGATTCTCTGCTGTCCTTTATACTGTTTTCAAGCCCAGCAGTTAGTTTTATGACCACTATTCTAAATTCACTTTCTGTTATAGTGTTTAAATCATTTTTGATCGGTTCGTTAGCTGTCGTTATTTCCTGGAGTTTCTTTTGAGGGGAATTCTTCCGTTTCGTCATTTTGGAAAGTCCCTGGAGTGGCTGGGAACTGTGGGGCACTTCCCCTGCACTGTCTTGAATAACTTGCGTTGGTGGGCGTGGCCACAGTCAGACCTGATGTCTGCCCACCGCTGGGGCCACAGTCAGACTGGTGTGTGCCTTCTCTTACCCTCTCCCAGGGGGGATTCACTGTAGGGTGGCATGGCCCGTCTGGGCTACTTGCACATTACCAGGCTTGTAGCGCTGGGGATCTGGCATATTAGCTTGGGTGGATAGGCAAGGTGCACAGGGGCGGGAGGGGTAGGCTTAGCTCGCTTTTCCTTCGGAGGTCCGCTTCAGGAGGGGCCCTGCCGCACCCGGAGGGAGTCAGACCTGGAGGGATGGATCCGCAGAAGCACAGCGTTGGGTGTTTGCGCGGTGCAAGCAAGTTCCCTGGCAGGAACTGGTCCCCTTTGGGATTTTGGCTGGGGGATGGGGGAGGGAGATGGCACTGGCGAGCACCTTTGTTCCCTGCCAAGCTGTACTCTGTCATCTGGGGCCCAACGACTCTCCCTCCCATTGTCCTCCACCTCTCCCGCTCTCTGAGCAGATCTGTTAACTTACAGCCTTCCAGATGTTAAGTCCCACTCGCTGTCCAAACACACTCCGTCTGACCCCTCTGCTTTTGCAAGCCAGAGTCAGGGGCTCTGCTTTGCCGGCGGGCTGCCCGTCCACCCTAGCTCCCTCCCGCTAGTCGTGTAGCGTGCACCGCCTCTCCGCCCTTCCTACCCTCTTCCATGGACCTGTCGTCTACGCTTGACTCCGGAGAATCCGTTCTGCTAGTCTTCTGGCGATTTTCTGGGTTATTTAGGCAGGTGTGGGTGGAATCTAAGTTATCCTCAGGTCGCGGTGAGCCCAGTGTCCTCCTACGCCACCATCCTAGTGACTTTATTTTTAAACTTAAATTAGGCTAAGGAGTTCAGATTTTGTTATATTTTATTGTTTACTATAGCCCATACTCTTTACAGTGAAGTCACATACCTTTGTATTCCTCTGCAGTTTTCCCTTTTATAATGTCGCTTGAAAGAACTATGTGTCAGTGTATATAAATGATGATCTTGTGGGGAGCAATGGGCTTTATTTCACATACAATACTTAGACTTCAATGTAGTATATAATAATACTTAAGGTTCTTGACTGGTATTTTGATAGCATAAATACTCAGTGGTATGCTATGCAAAGACATATGCTACTCTATTCATAATTTCATAATTGATAGGTCCTAGATGAATATTTATTTAAACCCTATAGGTAGTATAGAAATCTTTGTCTAATGGTTGACTGCTTTGATGCAGAAAGTAAAATAAAATTAGAGCTTTTCAGATCTTTCTATATATTATTACTGATTTTCAATACTTGCTACTGACAAAGGAAATTTTACTCTACATTTAGAAATTAAGAATGATTTCTCACTTCCAAAATGTCAATAAATTCGTTGAAAGTATATATACAAGTATGTGGGCATGTCTGTGTGTATTTTCATTCCTAGACAGTAAAATTAGGAAAATAAATTTGTCACTCGGTTAAAGAACTAATTTATTTTATTTTTAGATCTTATTACTTTTAGTCTGTTATGAAGCTTCCTGTTAATTTAGAAAATGGTAATAGAAAGTATGTGCTTCAGAATACTTTCTTATGAGACATTTTGGACATTTTTCAAAAACCATCTTATCAATTCTTGAAAATACTAAGAGTAAATCCACACTGATAAAGACCATTAAAATCCCAAAAATATTTTTGTGCAACCTGAAAGTTCATCCTTGGAATTAGCATGCAAATATTGTGTTTGGGTTAGTCAGAGTCTTGAGTATTTCCTTTGATGAAATGAAGACATTCTGTGTAATAATCCTTGGTGAAAGGGACATCTGTAGCATTTGTAATAGATGATATTATTTAATAGAGTATTTGTAGTAATAATTATAATTATCAACATTTTTATTTTAATCAATGGAGTAGACCAAAGTATAAAATATTTTTTACCATTCAGTTTAGTGGTAACCATTCTAATTATCTTTTATTTCCTCTTTATCTGTCCCCGGCATGGCACCCCTTTCCTCTTCTACCCATAGCTCTATGCCATCCCTTGGTTTCTCACCATGTTTACCCGTAAGTATAATTTTTCCTTTCCTTTTAATATTGTATTGACAAAAGGATAGCTCCTTTCTACCCCAGTATATTATAGCTATAGTCATATTAAATAGATTTAATTACATAACCATCCTTATATAATTCTAATGTAATAGAGTTGGGTAGAAAAAATTAAATTGTTTTCACTGCTGAATATCAAAAAGTGTAATATAGGATGAGTGTTATATAGTGATGTTTAGGATGCCTACCTTACGTGCCATGACATTCATAAAATCCCTGCCTTCTGTTGAAAAAGAAATTAACATAATATTTACATAAAGATTTGGAAGACAACTTTTACAACAAATAAGATTCAATTTTTAGAGATCCTCTAACACTTTTGTTATTTCCAAACCTAGAATTCCTCTAGAAATCAAAAAGTATGTGTATGTGATACTTTAATCAGTTACAGGTACGAATACAGTGGACATTCTGCTTAAATATGTACTATGATAAATGGAATAACCATATTTAAAGTAGATTATGCATTGGCCTGGAAAAATATGCACAGTATCATTAAATGTAAAAAAGAAGGTTGCAAAAAATAGAAAAAAATTTTTACGTGAACTTAATAAAGCTATTATTTTTTTTTCAACGTTTATTTATTATTTTTGGGACAGAGAGAGACAGAGCATGAATGGGGGAGGGGCAGAGAGAGAGGGAGACACAGAATCGGAAACAGGCTCCAGGCTCTGAGCCATCAGCCCAGAGCCTGACGCGGGGCTCGAACTCATGGACCGCGAGATCATGACCTGGAAGTCAGACGCTTAACCAACTGTGCCACCCAGGTGCCCCTATAAAGCTATTATTTAGAGTGAATAATAGAAATGTAACAATACTGAATCTAAAACAATACGAAATTTCATGTAAGTAAATAAGCTTGTGAGAATCGTATAACAAGAAAATTCTATGAAGAAATATAATTAATGGAACAACTATACCAGGATTGATAAAGGTTAGAAAATGTCATCTATTTGACCAATCTGATTATTAATATTTAAAAATGCCTTAGGAAGCAATAAATATTATATACAATTTCATAAGTGTTTTGTGAAACCAAACCAAAAATAGTTTTTATAAACATTTTATAAAACTAAATAAGCATTTTATAAAAACACTTTGGTAGTATTTGTTCTTAGTGGGTTTTTTTTTTAATGTTTATTTATTTTTGAGAGAGACAGAGAGAGAATGCAAGTGGGTTAGGGGCAGAGAGAGAGGGAAACACAGAATCCGAAGCAGGCTTCAGGCTCTGAGCTGTCAACACAGAGCCCGACTCAGGCCTCGAACTCACGAGCTGTGAGATCATGACCTGAGCCAAAGTTGGATGCTCAACCGACTGAGCCACCAACGCGTCCCAATATTTGTTCTTAGTTTTGACCATAAACCATTTGTAACGTGTCTAGTAAAACAGCTTGTTATTGTTTTAATTTCTGTAATTTTGTCTTTTTATTTTATTTAATTGTATTCATATTTTGTTGTTTTACAGATGTATTTCCACTGCACAAAATTTTCCACCTCTGGGATACCTTACTCCTTGGGAACTCCTCTTTCCCATTCTGTATTGGAGTAGCAATCCTCCAGCAGCTTCGGGACCGGCTTTTGGCTAATGGCTTTAATGAGTGCATTCTTCTCTTCTCTGATTTACCAGGTATAGATATAAATAAATGGAATCCCTAAATGAAATTTAATTCTAAAATAATGAGAAGTCTTATAGCATTTTGCAAAAATAATCATCCAAACTTTCAGAATCTCTTCTTGAGCTTCAACTTCCTTCTCTGGATTCTCTCTCTCATGTAACCACATCTGCTCTTCCAGCACAGGTCCAAACCTGGGTCATATTAGATTGTTGTGGTTTAATTTTATGTCAGTGATGCCACCAAAAGGGTAAAAGAGCTGGGGGCAGTGACATATTTGCCTTTAATCTTAGGACACGCCTTTTAATCTTCAGCTGATAGAGAGTAAGTAAAGGCTACTTGTTTGAGAATCTGTGTTTACATAGAGATGTAATTCACATGGAACTTTGCTCTCCTATCTATAGCTCCTTAGTAACAATTTGACAGTTTGAGGAAAGGAAACACTGCCCCTTTGGAGGGCAAATCACAAGCTATATATTATATTCACAAGTGAGGAGTTTGTAAATCTAGGTGTTAAATTTGTTAAGTGTGGATGTAGGGAATATGACTATGGTCTAAACTTTGCTGCTGTGGCTGAAAAGATCAAAGTAATCTGGTCACCTAGGATATAGCAATCTGTGGAATTAAAAAATGAAACTGTATTTTTGCAGAAACCAAAATTTTTTCAGGTAGAAGAATTCTACTTTCTTCAAGCAGCATTTCATTGGCTCCGACCCTTTTCTGAGTTTATTGTTGTTCTCCATATTTTTAGACACAAGTAACTGCTGATAAGAAACACATTTAGTTATCTAAGAGTTAAATTTGCTTAAAAAACAAATGAAGAACAAAAGAAAGGTACCTTAAGATTACATATTTATTAAGCACACTCAAGAGGAAAAAGAAACTGCTACCTACCCTGATTTTTATCTTTAGCTGATGATCTATATCTGATACTTCACCATCTCTCTGTTGTTGCAAGTCTTCATCCTTTTGGGAAAATAATAACAATTTAAAATTTAATTTTTTTTTAATTTTTCCTTCCTTCTTTCCCCCAAATTGAAAGTACCACCATCATCTTTCTAACTTATCTAAGTTTAATTAAATTATTTTGTATATGAGGAAATAGTAGTTCACTTCTTATATTATTTGTTTCTGGGCGATAGATTCCTTTTGAAAATCGCACTATTTTTTTAATCTTTTGATGTTAAATGGTAACAAAGAAGCTAGTTTCACAAACTAGGAATACTGTCTGTACCTTGCATACATTTTGCTCTCATTTCCAACTTGCCAAAGTAAACAGAAGATGATTGATTATGATTAAAAGAATTTTTTCTGGTCAGTTCTAAAAAAGGAAAAAAAATCACAAATGCTGATTGTGCATTTTGAAATCAAGCAAATTTAATGCCTTTCCAATTTCATACATAAATGTACCAGTTAAACACTTATGGAAGAATCTGTTGTCATATTGTATAGGCATGTTAATAGTAACTCTGGTTGTCCATGAAAATAAAATTATTATTTCTGAAATCAGAAAATAAGAATATGCTTGTTATAACTGACTTATTAAAAAGGTAAACTCTACCGGGGCACCTGGGTGGCTCAGATCATGACCTCACAGTCCGTGAGGTCTAGCCCCATGTCAGGCTCTGTGCTTACAGCTCAGATCCTGGAGCCTGCTTCGGATTCTGTGTCTCCCTCTCTCTCTGCCCCTCCTGACTGACTCTCTCTCTCTCTCTCTCTCAGAAGTAAACATTAAAAAAATTGTTAAACTCTACCTACCTCTTAAAATAGGATGCATTCTATTGTTGTGAATTGCCTTGATCCTCAGTAGCATTATTCTAGTTCATCACTTGTTTGGCCACTCTCTATAATTCCTGTTGGGGAAGAAAGAGGTTCTAATAAAAATATGACTTAAAAAAAAAAAAAAAACAGAAAGGGTCCAGATGTAGGCTTTGTTCTAAAGTACACCTGTGTTTTACTTTTAATCGAAGGACATTTATTTGGGATGTCTTTCCTAAATCTAAAGAGATCTCTTTTTTCACCATGTTGAGCTTCATAACTGTCGTTGATGCTTGAAGGAACTGGAAATAATCATGGGAAGTCTTAAAATGTGAATCCAGATTAATATACACACAAACACACAGAATGTGCCTTTTCTAAGCAAAGTATTATGTGTCATAAGTTTGGAACATATTTGAAAGAAGCTTTTTAAAACTACAGAAAAAAGACAAGATAACTCTGTATTTCACTTTAATTCTTGAGACAGACTTTGTAGATAAAGACAGGATAGGATTAAACATTGATTTGAACTTACTAAATACGTTATACTTTACTGAAATCCCTATCAACTGAGTTTAAAAGCATAAGCAAACAGCAAATTTAACTAAATTCTTTGCTGAAGCAGATTGCTAAATTCACCGTTCAGAACATCTATTTGATAGTAATATGATGGAAATACTACTCAGTTGGTATCCTTGTGAACAAAATAAGCTTGAATTTTTTTAAGTTGTCCTTTCTAGTTTTTTTTTTCTTTCAACAAAGAGACACCCAGTAGTCTAGTTGTTAAGAGCATGGCATGTGGAACTGGTCACCTAAGTTTCAGATCCTGGCTCTGCAGTCACAGCTGTGTGATCTTAGGGTCATGACTTAACCTTCTTGTTTCCTTACCTCTGATTATATGAGAATGATAATAGTACCTACCTCATAGGGTTGTTGTGTTAAATAAACCAGTATATCTAAACAACTTAGAGCAGTGACTGGCATAGAGAAAATGCAATGTAAGTGATTATTATTATTAGTTTTGCCATTATCATTATTATGCTTGTTTTCACTTTCCATTCTACCATGACATGCTTTCCTATTGATGGTATAAATGTAGCAATCACCCCATTTGGCTTTTTCTATAATTTTGTTTAATATGAAATTTATTGTCAAATTGGTTTCCATACAACACCCAGTGCTCATCCCAACAGGTGCCCTCCTCAATGCCCATCACCCACTTTCCCCTCCCTCCCACCCCCCATCAACTCTCAGTTTATTCTCAGTTTTTAAGAGTCTCTTATGGTTTGGCTCCCTCCCCCTCTAACTTTTTTTCCCTTCCCCCCTTCCATGGTTCTTGTACCCCAACGTTTATAGCAGCATTTTCAACAATAGCCAAATAATGGAAAGAGCCTAAATGTCCATAAACTGATGAATGGATAAAGAAACTGTGGTTTATATATACAATGCAATACTACTTGGCAATGAGAAAGAATGAAATATGGCCTTTTGTAGCAACATGGATGGAACTGGAGAGTGTTATGCTAAGTGAAATAAGTCATACAGAGAAAGACAGATACCATAAATTAAAAAAAAAAATTTTAACATTTATTCACTTTTGAGAGAGAGAGAGAGAGACAGAGTACAAGCAGGGGAGGGGCAGAGGGAGAGAAAGACACAAAAGCCGAAGCAGGCTCCAGGCTCTGAGCTGTCAGCACAAAGCCCAACACAGGGCTCAAACCAATGAACCGTGAGATCATGACCTGAGCCGAAGTCAGATGCTTAACTGACTGAGCCACCCAGGCATCCCTTTATAAATTATTAAAGTAGATATCAGTCATATTAATTTCCTTGTTAGCTAAAACAATTGAGGAATTATCTAAGAAGTCAAGTAGACCTTCTATGTTGAGTGTATATTATGACTAAGAAGAATATTTCTTTTCATTGCTCAGAGACAGTGTAATGTAGTAGATAGCACAGACTTTGCAGTCAATACAGATAAGGATTTAAGTCCTAGCTCTACCACTCACAACCTGTGTGAACAGGGAAACTTTCAGTGTAGTTCTGCTGCTAAAAAAGCTGTCTATGGATGAGATAGATGTGAGTTCATATCCCACTTCTGGCACATAGTAGCAGTGTGAATTTGGAAAAATTTTTAATCTCACTGAGAATTCTGTACATTAGGAAAGTTTCAGTAAAATGGGGATAATATCTGCTTTAGTATTATGATGAGCACTAAAGATAACATACATAATGCAGCTGCCACAAAATATGGTACTGATTATGCATACACAGTATGTATGACTTTTTTTTAAAGTACATGTAGTATATAATATTTTATTTTATGTTTATTTTTATTTTATTTTAATCTTAGAGCAGGAGAGGGGGGCAGAGAGAGAGAATCTCAAGCAGTCTCCAGGCTCCAGGCTCAGTGAGGAGCCTGATGAGGGGCTCGATCCCATGACCCTGGGTTCATGATCTGAGCCAAAATCAAGAGTCAGACGCTCAACCAACTGAGCCTCCCAGGCACCCAGTTTTTAATATTTTAAAAATACATAAATAACTTGTAACATTCAATCTTTATAAGTTCCCTCTCCTTTCTTCCTCCTTTCCTTCACTTTATACTATTTAATTCTTGAAGAAGGAACACAGAGGAAAAGCATTATTATTTTTGCAAAAATTGTTCCCAAATTCTATTCCCTTGTAATATTTTTTAAATTTTTTAAAGGAGTGTGTGTTTTTTTTCTTAACTTTATTTTATTTGAGAGAGAGCGAGAGAACGAGAGAGAGACAGAGACAGAATCCCAAGCAGGCTCTGCACTGTCAGCACAGAGCCCCATACAGGGCTCACATCTACAAACTGTGAGATTATGACCTGAGCTGAAATCAAGAGTCAGACATTTAACTGACTGAGCCACCCAAGGGCCCTGATAAATTGTTATTAACTAAGGTCAGTAGTTTACATTAAGGTTCACCCTTTGCCTTGGAAAGTACTGTGGGTTTTGACAAGTGAGTAATGTCATATATTTACCATTACAGCATTATACAGAACAGTTTCACCACCCTAAACATCTCCTGTGCTGCAACTATACAGTCCTTCTCTCTACTCTCCTTACCCAACTCTCCCCTGGCACTCAGTGATTTTTTTACTGTCTTAATACTTTTGTCTTTACCAGAATGCCATATAGTTGAAATCATAGAGTATGCAGGCTTTTCAGACTTTTTGCCCCATGTCTGCTTATGGCTTCATAGCCCATTTCTTTATATCACTAAATAG